TAAATAAGTGAGGGAGAAAAGTAAGGTGAGAATTAAGGCTTTCTGAGGTTCCTTTCAGCTCTAAAATTTTGATTGTAGGTACCAAGTTGATAAACATCTTATCTTGTGATGTGAAGCCCACTCATAACAATATGCATATATGGCAATTACAGTGCTGTGGCACTGCACAACTTTTGGGGCAGATTCCCAATGAATACCATCCCTGGAGCTGTGCAGTGTACAGCCTGAACAATCAACAAGCAATGACCTTATTGTCTAAGCACTAATGAGTCATTACTATTTCAGATAGGAAAGACTTAAATTATTACAACATTATTACAACTGACAAGGTAGAGGACTTATGAAGTGTAAACCATCCTGGGAGCTGAAATGGCCAACAGATAAACATCCCAGGTAATCTTTCTTTAGGGAACAATAGTCATTCAAATTGTGTAAGTTCTGTTTGATTTATTAAAAGAATCAATCACGTCAGGTATGTTCATGGGGAAAAAAAATCAATCCTATTCCTTTACAGCTATATCTCATTGAACAGAGTGCTATTCATTCATCTTAGGGTAAAGAAGTAAGAACCCCTTACTACAGAACACTGAAGTAATATTAAGAAGATCTTTAAATATAACTCAATTAATTCATTCAATAAATTGTGCCAAGTCTCTGTTGGCTAACAATTATTTTTCTAGGAACTGTGAATAATGAGATAGAAAGGAAAAGGTCCCTGACCACCAGGGGCTCACAGTTTAGTAGGAGGATATAAACCTAAGTACATAATTACAGGAAAATGTGTTTCAGTACTGTAATTGCAGTGTGTACAAATTGCTGTGGGGCACAGGAAAAAAAGAGGCTAATTCTGCTTGGGACTTTAAGGAGAGCTTCCCAGAAGAGTTGACATTGAGCTAGATCCTAAAGAATTTACAGGAGCTAAGGCACTCCAGGCAAAGAACCGTGCCCAGGGCATGAGGACACGTGGACATGGCAGGAAGGTCTGTGTGGCTGGGGTCTTTGCCATGAAGCAGGGACAAACGGGAACTGCAGCAGGAAAGATCTGGTTTCTGCCCAGCCTGCCAACCTCCTTTGGGGCCACTTGTCCCTTCTGCCCCACGCCCTGGCCACATGAGCTTTCATGAGCCACGCTCACTCCTACGCATGCTCTTCCTCGCCAGGCCCCTCCCACTCTTCTGGTCCCTGATTAAACAGCAGCTGCTCAGCGACCACAATGTGTATTGGTTCCCCCTTTGCCAACCTCCAGTAATTCTCATCCTTTTTTCTTCATAGCTTTTTGGATAAGTTTTCATTTGTTTGTTGCCTACCTTCCACCTGGACTGTAAGCCCAGAGGGGTAGATGGTCTTGTTTGTTTCACTCAGCACATAAAGCTGGTATAGAGCCTAGAACATAACAGGGGCTCCGTATTTGTGGGATAAATGCTTGAATGCCTGAATGAACTACCAAGTGGTTGAAAGAAAAAAGGAGGGAAGGAAGGAAGTAAGGAGCCAAATTAAACAGTTCCTTGTATATAAACCATGAGTTTGGACTTTCACAGACAAGGGATAGTTATTAAAACTTAAAATGACATTTTTTGCTTTTTTATAAATAACTTTTAAAAAAGAAACACTAAAATAGTTACTTAGTGTCAGCATTTTTGCACCTTACTTACTTCTCCATGAAGATATAATAGGTACAGTAATGGGAATATGTTCAATTTCCAAACCATTCTCGGTTATGCGGCGAAGTCGTCCTCGTAGTTTAACATTTCTTCTTATAAACTCTACTGGAATATCTGAAGAACTTGTGAATTTTGATGTCTGTTGATTTACAAGGAGAAAAATGCAATATTTTATTACTATTTTCATTTTAAAATTAAGTATGTCAAATTCTCCAAACATTTCAAAGAAGACATTACCACCGAAAATTCTGAATTTGGTTCTGAATTTTATATTAATATTAATATGATTTAACAGAAAATGTCTACAGGAACATTATATAGAAATCTTTAGTCATAATTTTACTATTTCAAGTTACTATATAGGGAACATTAAACAAACTCCTAACTTCTAAAAGCTTATGTCCTCAAAATATGACACAATTCATCAAAAAGCAGTGAGTCTGAGCCTGGCCCCACACAAATCAGGTTAAACAGTCACTATTCTATTCTACACATGCACCATCTGTTCATGCAGGTACTGCTGGAAGGATCTGACCAAAGCTGAGCAAGTTAAATTACAACTCCTAATCAACAAGTTTTTTTTTTCTTACTTTTTATCTCATAGGAGAAAAAGGCAAAAAAATAAAATAAAAAAGACCAACAGTGGGAATTTATTTAAATTACCTAACACTTAGGTAACACCCTGGGGTTAGGGTTAGTCAACATTTTACACCTATGTCTTCCACATTAACAGTAGTGTAGGGACAAGCTTCATTCATAATCAAGGCTAAGTAAAAGCCTCAAATATATAGAAAGATAAATTGGTACCCAATTTCCTAAAACAGTAAAGTTGACCTAAACATTTAAAAACAAATTTCCACACAAGAAAAATACTGTAGCAAACAAACTCAGGATGTGGACCATTCAATGGCATAAATGACTTAGTTGCTCTAACAAATCAATGGCTTGAGGAAAATAATGAGGGGGAGGAAGGTGACAGCAGACTGTTATAAAATAAATGAGACTTAAGAGATATAACAAACAGATACCGTATATGGATTGTTTGAATCCTGATTTGAACATATCACCTATTTTAAAAAAGACACCATTGAGACAATCATGGTCTGGGTATTAGATGATACAAAGGGACTATTAATTATGTTAGATGGGATAATGTTCTGGGAGAGACACTGTATGTCTCCTGATGCAGGACACAGGAAGTAGTACACACCATCACCTTTTTTCACTGAATCTACTAGAGGAACACAAATCCAGATTGTAGGACATTATATAAGACAACAGCTTCTTGGAGGGAGGGTGTAGCTCAGTGGTAGAGCACATGCTTAGCATCCATGAAGTCCTGGGTTCAATCCCCAGTACTGCCATTTTAAAAAAATAAATGAATGAATAAATAAACTTAATTACCTCCCCCCAAAATAAAAAAAAGAAAAGAAAAGAAAAAGTTATTCACAAGAGGCAAAAATTAAAAATAGAGTCAGAGTACTCCTGGGCATATATCCAGAGGGAATCTTAATTCAAAAAGATACATGCACCCCAATGTTCATAGCAGCACTATATACAATAGCCAAGACATTGAAACAACCTAAATGTCCATTGACAGATGACTAGATAAAGAAGCTGTGGGTATACTTATACAATGGAATCCTACTCAGCCATAAAAAAAAAATAATGCCATTTGCAGCAACATGGATGGACCTGGAGATTGTCATTCTAAGTGAAGTAAGCAAGAAAGAGAAAGAATATACCATATGATATCATTTATATGTGGAATCTAAAAAAAAAGGCAAATGAACTTATTTGCAAAACAGAAACAGACTCACAGACATAGAAAGCATACTTACAGTTACTGGGGTAGGGAAGGAGGTGGGAAGGGATAAATTAGGAGTTTGAGATTTGCAGATACTAACTAATTTATATAAAATAGATAAACAAGTTTATACTGTATAGCACAGGGAACTATATTCAACATCTTGTAGTAATTTATGGTGAAAAAGAATATGAAAGCAAATATATGTATGCTCATGTATGACTGAAGCATTATGCTCTACACCAGAAATTGACACACATTGTAAACTATTCAATAAAAAAAAATAAAAAAAAAATGGAGTCAGAGTAAAAGTTTAAAGGAGACTAAAAAGCCATGAACAACTAAATATAGGATGGAATATTACTCAGCCATAAAAAAGAATGGAATTTTGCCATTTGCAACAGTGTAGATGGACCTAGCTGATATTATGCTAAGTGAAATAAGCCTGAGAGAAAGACAAATACTGTATGATAACAATTACAAGTGAAATCCAAAAAAAAAAAGACAAACGAATAAATATAACAAAACAGAAACATAGTCATAGACACAGAGAACAAAGAGGTGATTGCCAGAGGGGAGGGGGATGGGGGAAGGAGAGAAATATGTGAGGGAGATTAAGGGGTACAAACTTGTAGTTACATAATAAATGAATCACAGGTATGAAATGTGCAGAGTGGGGAATACAATCAATAATTATGTAATGTCTTTCTATGGTGACAGATGATAACTAGACTTATGATCATTCTGAAATTTATTGAAATATCAAATCACTATGTTGTGGGACAGGAAGTAATGTAGTATTGTAGATCAATCTTACATCAAAAACAAATTCACTCATAGAAACAGGTAACATTTGTGGTTATCAGAGGGGGAGAATTTGGAAGTTGCAAACTTCTAGTTATAAGATAAAGTACTAGGGAGCTACTATACAACCAGATTAATATAATTAACACTGCTGTATGTTATATATGAAAGTTGTTAACAGAGTAAATCTTAAGAGTTCTCATCATAAAGAAAAAAATTTTCTTTCCATTTAATTTTGCATCTATATGAGATGATGGATGTTCACTAAACTTACTGCAGTTATCATTTTATGATGTATGTAAGTGAAATCATGCTGTATACCTTAAACTTACACAGTGCTGTATGTAATTATATCTCAGTTTTTAAAAAAAGAGTTCAAGGCACTAAAAAAAGAGATAAAAGTTCTGAAATTGGAGGCTGGGTGAAAAGGTAACAGCTAGTAAAGACGCAGTATGGTAGAGTAATGTGGTGCAGTCAATGATAATGCAAAACAGTACAGAGATAATAAGTGAAGGAAATAAATAAATACAGGAGCAATAGCCCCATCCCACTTAATGACACTGAAATTACATCCTAAGGCAACAATCAGGTACATTAAAAATTACTAATAAATCTTGAATTACCAAATGGATTTTTACAATGTCTTAAAATATTATTGAAAGGGCAAAAAAATACACTAAGGGAAAGCATAAATTATTCCACTCTAAGGGACATAATTCAACTGTCATTTAAACCTAAAGCCACTATAGAAAACACTTTTGAGATCTGAAATGCAAATTGAGCGATTATATCGTTCTAGCAGGCTAAATCTTTTTCAGATTCCTTTTTATCCACAGAGAAAAGTGATTATGGAAATACAGGCTGTGCAATTACATTCCATAAAATCCCGTGGATGTGTTACTTTTAAACCAAGACCTTAAAGTATGTTCATTGTTTTAAAAAACTATTTAAAAGCTTCTAATATGAATAACATAATGATACACTGCTTAAGATAAAAAAAAGTCTGAAGTGAGAAAAATTGACTATCTATTGCTTATTCAAAATGTCTTTTTCATATTTTAACTTACCAGTCGGACGCTTCTTAGAAGTAACGTTACTCCAGCTATGGCCATTACAGTGCTGATGCTCTTCAGAAAGAGATTTAATGATTAATTCTCACTATTATTCACAGTAGTAAAAGTACTAATTAGAAGATTAAAAAAAAAATCCTTTCTACACCTAACTACCCAAATAAGGCATATCCTTCAACTAAAGGCCCACTTCTTCCCAAAAAAAACTAACTGCCCACCCACCCATTAATTTTCCCCTTTTTCTCCCAAACCATCTGGCAAGCACAGTAATTATATACATAATATTGTACTGTTTTCTATTGATTATACTGCTTTAACCGTAAGTTCCTTGAATATATGAATCAGTCTAATACTTCTTGTGTAAGGCCCACAGGAACTCCATAATCCTGAGTCTGCAGGGGGAATTTAAGTATCTGGTAGAAAACTTTATCACCAAAATCTTAAAATAGAGCACCCTGGGAAATACATGTGGGCAAACAGTTGGGAAAAACTTAGCGATGTTTTTAACGTGCTTCATGGAAACTGAAATGTACCTAAAGATGTTTAAATAAAAA